AATCTCAAAATGGCGTTTAAATTAGCCTAAATTAAAAATAATCGTATATCTCTTAAAATTGCTTTTAGAATATTGAATAGTATATTTTTTGATTTCTAGGTAAATATGTAACCAAATTAAAACGTTCAAAACGTAAAAAAATGTGCATGGTTGAACATTGTCAGAAAGTAGATTCTTGAATAGGTTTTGCCAAAATGAGTTCAAAAATGTCAATAATTAATTAAAAAATACAGTAGCTTTATAATTACTTATAACTTACCGAATTTGATGAACGACATCTTTTATTGGAAAGATGAGCTTGATGAGCTTTCATCATCGCTACTGCCTGAAGCACCAACGTCAATAATGAATGGCTCGACTTGTTCCTCTAAAATATTGTCCAGTTCCCACATTCTCTTTTCAACTTTGTCTTTCACGTGCTTAATACAGTTTTCCCATTTTTGCGCTGTTATTAATTCTAGTGCTTCTTTGAAAAGTCCTTTGAGGTCACAAAATTTAAAAGTTGTATTGTGCTTAGCTATATAATTTTTAACCTCTGCCCATATGAGCTCAATGGGATTGAGCTCGCAATGGTATGGAGATTGCTATAATTGGGATTATTTAGTCATATTGAAAGAAAGAATATTGAACGTCGTATGATTACTCAGCGCTTCACAATTTAATTTGAAGTTATAAACCTTTAAAAAATGAATGATCAGGAACCTGAAATACGCGCAAATATTAATATTAACAAATTATAACTTTATAAAGCTTAAAGTATGAATTAAAATGATTAGAAATATTAGGAACGGTACACAATATAAAACTTAGTAACTTTTTTTAAGTTTATACTATTCGACATATTTTAAGATTATATTAAAAAATTATTGAAATATCGAAAACACATAAAAACATGGCTTAAAAAAGTTCTAACAAATGAAAATGACAATAAAACATCCACGCATTTTATCGAAAGTTATAAAAGTTTTGTTACTTGTAATATGTTTTATCTGCCCCCTGGAATTAATGTTTAGAACCTTGTTCCCAAGGTTTGAAAAACATCCGATTGTTGTCTATTACTCGTATTTACCTGCTGGATTTTTAATCCGGTGGACAGTCCATCTGGAAAAGCCCTCCTGGATGAAGTTACAGAATCATCAACCCATACATTACTTGTAGTGTGTCCTGCGTTTACCCACGTTTCATCAAGGTAATAAATCTTCCTGTTTTGATTTCTATATTTCCCAATTTTTGTTAAATAATCCCTCCTCCATAGCACAATTTCTTCTCTATCCAGTAGTAAACTATTACGACCCCGTTTTTTCCATTTGAAATTTAAATGCTTCAGTAACGCATGGAAAGTTGATCGTTTGAAATTTGACAACATTGTATCTCCATTTACCTCCTGCAGTACTTTATCTATAGTAGGTATTTCATTCCTAAAGAAGAATTCATGCACTTTCCTCCTAATCGCATGCTTATCAGCTTCATCCAATGATTTAACAATACTTTTGCGATGTTTACTGGTCATTGGCTCAGAAAAGGTGTGATTTTTTTTGTATTGTCTTAACACAGTAAAGACTGATGCGCGACACACCCCAACTTTGTGAGAAACCTTCACAACAATTTCTTTGATGGTTGATGCCTCGTTCTCCTCGCGCTCGATCTTATATATATTCAAAATGACCTCTTTCATTTCTGCACTCAGGTGTCTTTTTTTAGAGCGTTTCCTAGGTGGACTACAGGAGTTTACAACTTCATCGACAGTATCTGTACTACTGGGCATTTTGCGCAAGCAGTTGATAACAATAACAATCAATAACAAGGTATAACAATAACAACGACAAACTCAACAACTTAATAAGATAACAAACGAAAACGTCCAAAGAAATATCAAATTGCAATGATGCACACGACATACGTAACACGTCTGAACCTGAATGTGACTCTGCCTTGATACGACTGCTCTGCCGCTCGGCATAGGCATTTAATTGCGAATTGACCAATGAGGGCTCCTGTTTTACGTCGAGAAGGCGGCGTTAGCGTGAAAATCACCCGAACCTTTTGTTTACATCCGGTCTATCTCTTATCTGAATATACTGTAGGGAAAGAAATTTTAAAATGTCATGAGGGATGTCAACATTACTGAGATTTTTGATCCAATTTTGTTGAGTGTTGAGCAAAGTTTTTTCGGTGTCATTTAACAATCTGTCAAACTTACGAATATTAGAGTTTTTTATGTTATGAAAGATTTGATTGTAATGTCTGAGTTGTCTATATTTGAAATTATCAAAAATTAGGGGAGAAGTGGAAAAAATTATGTCACTTTGGAGTAAATTGAGTGTGGAATGAAGTTTCTTCAACTGTCTTGTTGTCCTCATCCTGAACGTAAACAACAATTAGCAACATCCTCACATACTACTGTAAGTTAAGTCAATTTAAATTCATTTTACACTATTGTTGCTACTGTTATCAATGTAATTGCAGCTCCTGATGATGATGGCAAAGTCCATTGAAAGCTAGAGACAATAAAAAAAGTATAAAGAGTCCTCTTTGCTTAAATTTTTGTCGAAGTACCCAACAAAAGGCGGAAGCTTTAATTTTTCACCTATATATATATATATATATATATATATATATATATATATATATATATATATATATATATATATATATATAATATTTTGAAATATAAAAAAGTTTAAATTAATAATACGATATCTACAAAAATATTACAATTAGATCAGATCTGGCAATGGTACTTTACTTAAAAAATTGAACAAGCTTATCAACTTAGAGTCTAAAGAAAAATAGAGCTTTGCCATGACCGCCGAAATTAAGAACTGTGTTGGCAGGTTTAGTGTGTGATTTAATATTTCCAAGTTAGTGTTGGCACCAACACCAGAAAAAACAGAACTCGTAGGTTGGATATTTCTAAATCAATTCTAAAGTATTTCAACTGGAGGAAATTGAAGAGGAAAATACAACGCGCAGTCAACGAAATTCATCAAGGAATAGTTAGGAAAAATAGAAACTATAAACTAAATTCAATTTTAGATACACATTTTGACAGATTCAACATGTCCAGCACAACCTGATCTAGTCTAACCATATTAGACGAAAATACCACTGGCTTGCGAAATAATTGTAAAGTCTGGTTTTATTGCTGCAAGTTGTTCAAGCGGGTATTTAAAATATGGACGCATAAAACTTCTGTGTGAAAACTTTTTATGTGACAACAATGAACCATAAAATGAGATCACACGTAAAAAGATCCGACTAATAGCAAAAAAGTTATGGCCGAAAACCGAGGCAAAGTGCAGGTTTCGGCACTTGTTAGTAATGCGACGATGGTTTCTCGCAGATATTTGAAATTATTCACATTCGTAGGATTCGTACTTATAAATAACCACAACAAAATTGATGTAGATTGGTCAAGTAGTTTTTGAGAATTTCTAATTGTTTATCCCAAAACACCGGTTTTCCGGCCATAAATACTGGTTTATTGAGCAATATACGGGGTGAGTTCAAAGGGCATTTTATAGCACTAGTTTACCTTGCCGATATGATTTGCAAAACATTCCGGAAGATAAATGTTATTTTTATACAAAAAATGATGGGTTATGTTTTTTCTTACATTTCGTATTTGTGAGTCATTCGCAACAAAAGATGATAGACACATCCGCTTTGTAATGAATTTTTTTCGAATATCGTAGCGCATTTGTTTAAGTATTCTCAAATACAAAATGCTTGAATTTGTTTAGAAGAAAAAACGTAACCTTTGCTTTTCGCATAAAAATAAAATTTATTTTTCGGAATGGTTTGTGATTCATATCGGCAAGGTAAACACGTGTATTTTGTTATTAAAAGCTCTTTGAACGAACCCTGTATATTGCTCATTAAGCTAGTAGTGATGGCCGAAAAACAGGTGTTTTGGGACAAACAATCAGAAATTCTCAAAAATCTACTTGACCAATATAATCCAATTTTGTTGTTGTTATTTAAAAGTATGAATCCTACGGGTTGGAAGAATGAACAAGTTGCGTGAAATGATCGTCGCATTACTAACAAGTGTCAAAACCTGCATTTTGCCTCGTTTTCCGGCAATAATATTTTTGACATTAGTCCTAAAAATCTTATATGAAAAGCGTTTTCGTTCCTGTTAACACTTTCGGTTCAATCCTAAAAAACCCGTTTTCTCATTTCTTGTTATCAAATAAAAAGTTTTCCTACAAAAATTGGTGTACCCATTTTATACCCCCTTGAACAACTTGCACCAAAGAAATCAGACTTTACAATTGTTTCGGGGAAATTTGCTAATATGATTAGACTGTATTTCTAAATCAATTCTAAAGTATTTCAACTGTAGGAAATAGAAGAGAAAAATATAACGAACAGTCAACGAAATTCACCTATGTAAAGGAGAAATGGAAACTATAACTAAATTCAACTATATATACATTTTGACAGGTTCAACATGTCCAGCACAATTTGATTGGTATCAGCGCACATTGGTGCAATGTATTGAGTAGGTTTGCTGAATTTACATCAATTGAGAAAACGCTCTGGCCTTAATAAGCATAAAAAACCGAATAAGCTATTTAAAGCTGAAATTAGAAAACTACCTATAACCGTTATATTTTTCCGTTTAAACTAACACTATTAATGTCACTGCAATAATGGCTGCCAGTATTATAACTCACCAGTTCTTTTAGAGCGTGATGCATATGCAAGTGAGCGAAAAAAAGCAAAACCAAAGTTATGACCACGAATTATGGGTTAACACTTATTACATAATCAGTTCAAACCCTTCAAATTAATAACGTGCTTGCCTTCTGATCTATATCCATGCTTGACGCATCGGAATTTCAGTATAAAAATTGTTCGGTAATGCGCTTCCTATAGGGTAATTCTAGGACAGATGGCCCATCAGGTGAGTTGGCCCACCGTCAATATCTCCACAAATGTATGAAAGACCGATACTTTGGCAACACCGGCAGCCATTTAGTATTGCGTCATATGCTGTGTCAGCCGCAGTTAGTAATTGAACGTTTTATTACAGTAGAATTACAATAGAAGTGGTGGTTATATGTACGATTTTTTTTTGACAAAGTATTAAAATTGCGTGAGAGGTACGTATTGTTATTTTTTGCAAACAATTACAAATTCATCGGGTAGTACAAGGCCTGGCGGCATTCCTCACCTAAAATTAAATTTTTATTCGCATGTATAACTTAACGCCGAAGTGAGCCATCTATCCTTGTAACATTAGGTGAGTTGGCTCACTGCTAAGAGAGGAGAGATGGCTCAATTACTTAACATGATTTTAATAGTTATGAACTCTTTTGCAGTTAAAATGCCTACCGAATATAAACGCAAAGGTAGTGTTTGTCGAGGGGAATGGTCAGAACAAGATTTACAACAAGCTATAGAGGCTGTACAAGAAGGTAGAGTAGGTGTTCGAGAAGCCGTTCGTTCCTTTGGTGTGCCATACACAACACTTCGACGACGCTTGAGAAGTGGCAATCATGGAAAGCTTCCATTGGGACCATTATCTACTTTAGGACAAGAAAACGAAGTTAAATTGGTCAATCATATTAAAAAACTTCAAAAGTTTGGATTTTCGCCATCACGAACAACTGTACGCTCTATGGCATTTGAATTAGCCCAGAAATTAAATCTCCCACATAAAGTCAATATTGAAAGATGTATGGCAGGATATCAATGGCTCGAGTCATTTTTAAGGCGCAATAAGGATCTAGCAGTGAGAAAATCCGAAGGTATGTCAGCTGCTCGTTGTTTAAATATGAATAGAGAAGTTGTGGCATCTTATTTTAACCTATTGGAAAACACTCTGATAGAATATAATTTAATTAACAAACCAGCAAGAATCTGCAATGTAGATGAGACAGGTCTACAAATGAACAACAAACCAGGCTTTGTTATTGCTCAGAGAGGTTCAAAAAACGTATCGGCAGTGACATCAGCAGAAAAAGGCGAAACAATCTCCGTAATAACATCTTGCAATGCGGAGGGGTCATTTATACCACCAACGTGCATCTTTAAGGGTAAGAATCAGAAACCAGAGTTTGCCGATGGTATGCCACCAGGCTCCTTAGTATTCATGTCTGAGAAATCAGCTTATGTCAATAATGTTTTATTTTTGAGGTGGCTTAAAGAACAGTTTGTCCCAAGGAAACCTCCGGGATATGTTATGTTAATCCTCGATGGACACTCATCGCATTGCAGCAGCGTAGAGACACTAGAATATGCTTCTGAAAATGAAATAATTTTTCTGTGTCTACCTAGTCACACAACTCAATTTCTTCAGCCTCTAGACAGAGGAGTTTTTAAGTCACTAAAGGCGTTTTATTATGAAGAATGTAATGCTTTCATTAGAAGAAATCCCAATCGACGCATTAACAGATTGATTTTTGGACAATTACTCGCTGCAGCTTGGGAGAAATCAACAACTGTTAAAAATGCGGTTTCATCTTTCAGAGCTACAGGAATTATGCCTTTCAATCCGTCTGCGATTCCAGATTACGCTTATCTTACTGACAAACCTCAGGGAGCTTCACCTAATGAACCTGAATCTCAAGTTTTACCGAATGGTGAAATATCTGTTGACAATAGAAATGAATCTGCTCAGGATTGATCTATTATTGAAATATTGGAATCGGTAGTGAATGATTCAGCTGGACCATCTGATATGAAGACACCTGAGAAAGAAATAGATATCCCTGGAAAAATACTGGACAAAATTAACCCGATTCCTATCACTGAAGTAGTCTCTTCTGCGAGGAAGAGAGGTGGACAGTTGGCTTCTGTCTTGACTAGCAGCGATAATATTAGAAATAAGAAAAAGAAACTAGAAGAAAAATTACAAGCTGAGGCGAAGAAACGGAAAAAGAAAGAAAACAAGAAATGCATTAAACCAGGTCCTAGCCGCGTTCAAAGTAAGTCTAAAAAACGGAAGCAATCTACATCTTCTTCTTCTGAAGAAGAAATAATATATGATGATTCCTCGGAATACGAAGATGAAACAAGTAAATGCGGTGGATGCGGAGATTTTTATTCCAGCAACACAAAAATGGATGACTGGATTCAGTGTGTGACGTGTTCCAGATGGGTACATGAAGGGTGCACCAGATTTGACAATTTTTTACTATATTTACTAGTTTTTGAATCGAGCCATCTCACCGAATACTATGGGCCAACTCACCCATATATTAAAGGAGAGATGGCTCAGTCTGATATTTTATTTTTTTCGTTTCTTTGAGAATAAAATTTAAGTTTGATTATTTTTCTGTTGTAATAATATTCTTCATATAAGCCTGGTTTAACCTAAGATATTAAATGATTTTTCTGGGGTATAATAAAGATGTTATGTTGATTTGTAAAAAGGTGGGCCATCTGTCCTAGAATTACCCTACAGGGTGTCCCAATATTTCGGGGCCCATGTATTTTTAGACTCAAAATAAGTCTATAGATTACGGTTTACCTCTACGCAAAAGTCCTACGTTTGCCCGTTAGAGGACGACTTTTTAAAACAAATTTTTTCATATATTTTTGGAACCAATAGCCTGATTTGAATGAAGTTTGAACACACGTGATGTGCTGAACGTCTTAATATTTGAATTTTACGGAAAACTCTAAAGGATTTGCGAAGACTGAAAAATACTCCCACCCAATCCCTTAAATTTCTTGGTTTGTGATGTGTCGTTTCATCGTCACTATCACAGCTTCGCGTGGTCTGGGTGAGGTTCAAAAATAAAATACCCAATAATTTTGCTATTTTCTGCTGATTGTAGCCAAGGTTCAAATCGCTATCTGCCATTAAGTATATCTATTTTTAAGCCTTTTGTCTAATGCAATCCATATCTGTACCGAATACATCCCCGACCTACCCCACAAAATCAATGACAAATCAATTATCCGCCTCCCACTACCAGCTGACCTTTACACAGGCGTCCAATTACTGGATCCGTTCGCGTGTGATTTGAAGGGCGCGTTTGGGGTTCCCCGGCAGGCACCCCGTCAGCCGTGCTGATGTCGTTAGCCATGGAAATTGTTTGATCGACGGCCTGGAACCAGTACGAGGAGAATCAAGGCTACCTACGATCCCCTTGCGTTTTCTTTACGATTGGTTAGGCGGGCTTGCAGAAGGCTGAAGGACCCGAATTAAGGTTTTTAGCAGGAAAATATGATTTGAGAAACCAAACATGAAGATTTGTTCGTTAAGGTTCTTACTGGACACTGAGATGTACATAATGGCATAAGATTTGGTATTTATAATTGCTCTAGAAACTAATTCAATTACAACTCATGGTAACCAAATTAGCAGATAAATTAGTTAGAGTAGTAGTTTTTAACACTAGACAAAATCTTTCTATTAAGCATCCCACAAACCGGCGCGAAATAATCGCGGCGAACTATTCGCAACGAAATTCAGAGCGAAATTCGCAATCTGTTTCGCCTGTTTATTCATACCAAAGCGTCTTATTCGCTCCGCGAACGTGAAGGTTTCGACAGGTTGCGTACATTTTATTTTTGCCTTTTGCAATGAGCTCGTCTTCAGAAGAAGAGGAGGCACTTCTATTTCTTGCTTTAGAAGAGGAACAAAATGCACGGTAAGTTATGTTTATTTAACGCCATTTGATAGTTGGGTATGTATTAAGTTTAACGAAGTACATAAAACAAATATTTTCAATTTTGTTTAGGAAATGAAGGAAGTGGGTACATGATATTAACTTGGAACGAAATAAATTTGGAGAATACCATATCTTGATGCCACAACTTCGGCTGGATGAACAGCGCTTTTACATATATTTTAAAATGACTCCAGAGTGTTTCGATGAAATATTGAACTTGGTGAAAGATGAAATACGAAAATCTGACACAAATTATCGTGAAGCCATTTCGCCAGAAGAACGACTTGCTATTACACTCAGGTAAAAAAATTATATGTATTAAAATTAGTAGGCTTATCGAATACGAAAACTTCAGGGATCGTGAAATAAATATTTTATTGTAATAACTGGACTACATGTTGCCACTAGGATTAAATGTTGCTAAATAATTCGAGGCAGAATTTGCCTCCTCTGTTGGGTATATTATTGGAGTAAACCCAGTGCCGCTTGGGAAGGACGACATACTACTATCATACATACTTGCAGAATTCTGGGTAGACGCTGAAGACATTTCTTCAATATGTTCAAATTCATCGTGCGCTATTAATTCGGCTATTTTTAGTTTTATTCGGGCTTGACGCTTTAAGGGAAGTGTTTTCACAGTCTGTGTATGTGCCAAGAAAAGTGAATCAATGGCCTCGTTCTCTTTTTGAGGTTTTTTACCTTCAAAATAATTAATGAGCTGTTGTACAGACGAAGATGGTGGTTCATAGCGTTTTCTGCTCGTTTTATATTTTGGTGTAGTTGCAGTCTGCGGAAAGGTGTGCCCTGGAGTAGTCACTGCTGTAGTGTTCAATGAAGAAGGTGGTGCTGTCTGTGTTGCCGAGGCGTTCTGTGCATCTTCTGCATCTACATCAGCATTTTCATCTTCTCCATGGCCGCGGTCTTCCAAATTTTCGGTTTCTACATTTCCAGCCCTTTCCTGATATATATTTGAGTTAAATTCGGCAGTCTCATAATGTATGACGTCAATATCTTTCACATTAGACGACGTTTTGGCAAATGCCAAAAAAGGACGGAAAAATTCAATGTAGTCAGCCCACTGCCACTTTTTTATGTTGCCCACTGCTTGGCCGGTCTTTGGTTTGGTAGATTTTATATATTTTGCAAATGTGTCTCTGATATTCTTCCACCTTTTTTTTACTTCATCACCTAAAAACGATTTTTTTTATAGATTCCTTGCCACTGGTGACACCTTCTATACCATTGGGCATAGCTTTCGAGTTGGCTTTACAACAGTGAGTGCAATCGTAACCGAAGTCTGTGAAGCGATATGCAGACATATGGAACATATATATACCAGAACCAACAGAGAATATATGGAAAAAATGTGCTGAAGAATTTGAAAATAGATGGGGATTTCCCAATTGCATTGGCAGCGTGGACGGTAAACATGTAACAATCAAGAGACCTAACAACAGTGGCTCCAATTACTGGTGCTATTTACATAAATATTCAATAGTACTTATGGCCATTGTTGGTCCGGACTATAAATTTATATGTGTTGATATTGGTGGTTTCGGAAAAAATAGTGATGGGGGTATTTTCGAAACCTCAAACATGGGAAAACAATTTGAACAAAATTTAATGAGTGTCCCTGCACCTAGATTTCTCCCTGGGCAAAATGAAATCTGCTCGTACGTCTTAATTGGTGATGAAGCATTTGCTTTAAAACCATACCTTATGAGACCATTTCCTTATAAGCAGACTTTAACCGACGTCAGAAAGGAGAAATACAATGTAAGACTTTGTCGAGCTAGAAGGGTCGTGGAAAATGCGTTTGGTATTTTGTCTCAAAAATGGCGAATATTTTACAGGCCATTAGGAACTAAAGTAGGTACTACTATTCTAATTGTACGTACGGCATGTGTTTTACACAATTTTTTACGAAGTAAAAGTGGCGATGACAAATATTTCCAATTCTTAGATCCCCCAGAACCCGTGCTTGGAGCTTTTACTGATATAACAAATGATCCTCGGCGGGCAGCAAGTCTAGCATTTTCTACTCGTGACAAATTCGTAAATTATTTTAATTCTGATATGCCTATGCCCAATATATAGAATATTCGTTTTCACATTTGTGTAGACTGTAAATTATTTAACAAGTTAATAAAAAATATTAGGTACATACCATTTGTATTTAATTCTTTTCCTATTTCCATCCAAATCTTGTCTTTCTTTCTCACATTCCTGTATTCATCGTTCGATAAATCATACAAACAAGGATACTTTTTCACTATTTCTATCAATAATTCCGTTTTTGCCATTGCGAATTTTTGAAGAACGGCGTCAAAAACGCGGTCAAAGGCGAACTGAAATACGCCGCGATAAAAACGCTGGAACAATCGCATTCGCTTCGCACAAGTCTGAGCCTGTCCGTAAACCACCGCGTTTTAATCTGATCGCGAATTCATCGCCGCGAAATTTTCGCAGCCAAAGCGAATATTTCGCGCCGGTTTGTGGGATGCTTTAGTCAAAATGTCAAATCTGTCTGTTATAAAATTTTAATCACTATGTATACAGGGTGTAAAGTTAGTAGTGGATCAACGGAAGTCAGGTGATAGCCTCAAAAAATATCGAATGAACCCCTATATGTGTGGACCGAAATTTTATAGTTCAGGAGATATTTGCATTTTTGTGAAATTTCGGAAGAAAAACGCGATGATGAACTTTTAATCGCAATTACTACTAAACCATTAGGTTTAGGGCCGTGATTTTTTTGAGATGAGCTAAATGGTTAGTTTCAGCAATGCTTATGTCAGTTTTTAACAGAGCTAATAAGAAATCAACGCAAAAGTTTCAAACTCATTGTTTTGTGAAAAATCTCTTCCGTTTCTCAACTTCGGAGGGCGGTAAAAAAATTGTGGTTTTATTTCATTATTACTAGAAGAACGTTTTATGTAAAAGAATAAATCCCTGTGAATAAAAAGCATTCAATCGGAAACCATAGGGGTTTAAATGTCGA